GGGGAAGGTGCTGTAGCACACGCACAGTGGGTGGGTACGTGGTGTCTTGGAAATGAGTGAGTAAAAGTGGTGGAAAAGCTGATCTGATGAGCAGAAGCAGATTTGCTGTCAAATAAATTACATTTAAAAGTTATTTGCTATGTTCTGCATGCAAGCACTGGACAATTTGATGGTTTCAGAAAGAACTGACAGGGTTTATGCTGCTTACAGTGTTCTCCAGGTGCCCTAAATGCTCATTTTAATAAGAAAAAGCCCTGACACTCATTTTGGTTGGCAACTATTAACAGCTTGTAAAGTAGCCCGAGGGCTTTAGTCAGAGTAAAGTGCTCTGAAACCCCCTGTAAGGCTGAGGTTTGTGCTGCAAAGCTGCAGGAAGCAGAGGAGTGTGGCTGCCTGCTGCATCACCTCTCCTCAGCATCTACCTGTCTCCTTCTTAAAAGTCTCAAAAAAGCTTAATTACTTAATACCACGGGATCTCTGTTTCTTTTTCCATTCAAATTCCAAATATTGAGAAATCCCTCGGGCCAGCAAGTGTGCTTGCACTTGGCATCTGCTGTCTGTTTAATATTCACCCCAGCGCCGTGATGGGCAGGTGGAAGGTCCAAGATGCACTGCAGGAGCATCCTGCCTTACTGCACCTGGAAACTTTGGCATCAGGTGAGCAGCTGAGGAGAGAAAAAACATCACAGAACTGCAGCTCCCGGGCAATTGTGCAAGAGGCTCCATATGCTCCGGTGCCCACCGAAAGAGCCATTTGGCAAAGCATCAAAATTATCCCTCCCCCCTCCTCAAAGGCAGGTTTCCACTCAAACTGTGAAAATACGTGACCACGGGCTCTGCTTGTCCCCTCTGAAGTCTGCCTGACTGCAGCACAGGTAGCTTGTGGGGCAGCATGTCAGGCAGATCTAGAAGGCGATCACATTAATTTTCACCACAGTCTATGTGGCACAGGCTCTTTTGGGTTGGAAACAACCCTGTTTGGTCCAGCTGTGCCGTGCCAGGGAGATGTTGCAGAGGCAGCACCCTGGCCAATGTGTGAAAGATTTCCTGATAGCCAGAGCTCCAGAACAGCAGTAAAAAGGTGGGACACGTGATGGACCTTTGCAAGGTGAGCTTGACCAGGCATGGTTCAAGTTTTGGGACTGCCCAAGCAGGTGTCTGCCCATCTGTCACCACGTGAAGAACCAGGTGATTCAAACATTGAATCAGGCAAGAAGAAGCAGATTTTGGGGTTTTGTGGCTATTGGTTTGGCATCTTGGGCCCAGAGACAAGGAGATTTTCTTCACCAACAGAGATGCTAATTTTGAAAGGCTGCCCTCCTCTGTACCATCAACTGATGGTGGGACCTGTGCTTAAGCACAATTTGGGGATGGAAAGGCACAAGGAAGAAGCACTGACCTCAGGCTGCAGCCCTGAACTGATGAAAAATGCAGTGTTTCAGTCCAAAACTTGCACAGACTCAGGACCTGGTGAGCAGCCAGCAGGCAGTTTGGAATGATACAGAGGTGTCCACCCTCTGCGGCTGCCAGGGGTACTGAACTGGGCAGGGTGGATATCTCAGCCACGTGGACTTTGTATCCTCTCCCAGGAGGGCAGTCAGGGCTGGGGAATATTTTCCTGCAATTAGAGCTCCAGTGAAAAGTTTTTTACTCCTCTCTTTCTCCTTCCTGCAGAGATGACCAGGCCCATGGTAGTGGCTGCCTTGCCATGTTTAGTCTCAGCAGAAGCAGGGTGGGGACTAGAAGCAGGATTAGGAACCATTTTGTTGAGAATGGCTCCAGCAGAAAGCCAAGGAGAGGGAATAGCTCCAGTTTTATCTTTCCCCATCCTAGTTCCTATCAGAGAGCATTGGTGGGTCAGTGCCTGCTCCAAGGATAACCCCTGGAGCTGCTCCAAGCTCTGTTTGGTCCCATCCCCCAGCAGCAGTGGGGCTTCAGCATTGCAGAAGCTTCTGTTCCCACTGCTGAAATGGACAGAAAACAACAATGCACTGGGGGATCCAGGGAAAGGGCCCATCTGCCTTGCTTCTGAGGATGATTAGGGACAGTATTTGACTTGGCTAGCATGGGAAACGGCACAGAATGGCAATGCTGAGGCTGACTGGCTGGCAGTGGTGAGGAGGAGGGAGGAGCAATAAGAAGATGAACTCAAATCGCAGCCTCTCCTCCAGTGAGCAGCATAAAACCCACAGCTGGACACAGCCCATGCACAGGCAAGAAATAAGCCTGCTTGTTCCTGAAATGCTGAAAAGTCCCATATGTTCAGCTCCTGATGCACCCCATCACATCAACCTCCTCTTGTCTCTCCTCCTGCAACCAGGGCCCCATCCACTGCTCCTGGACACGTGCCTTTCCCTCACCCCAGGCTGAAATGTTCCCAGACAGTTTTCATCCTCGCTTCCCTGCAGAAGTGACCTTATTTTCTGTATTTATACCTTTCCAAGTCCATAAGTCATTAGCAATTATTGGACAGTTTGAACCTCATATTGGTTTCTTCTTCAATTTTTAATGGAGGCATTGAATGTTGTCAAGTCTGATTCATTATTGAGTGAATACTTTATATCACCATCAGCAATGAACAATGTGCTGCAATCAAAGACATCAATGTGATTTAGTTTAATTATATTTATTTCCTGTAATTTTTTATTCACCGAGTACTTTATCAGCTCTTCCACTTTTTTTTTGCCAAGGATCAATTTCAAGCTGTAAATCAGTAACAGGATTTGTCTTAGACATACTTGGCTCTCCAAATTTGCCTCTTTAAAATACTGGCACAGCTCCAGCTCTCTTTCAGTCTTCTGCAACTTCCTCAGCACCTCAGTATAACTAAAAATAATGAGGACATAAAGAGCTCTTTGGCCATGTCTTAAATTCGATGAAATGCTGTCAGTGTCATGATTTTCATGCCAGGGTGCAAGGCAGTGGGGATGCTAATTTTGTCATGTATGTTTCACCCCGCTGTTCTTACATGGATCATTCATGGTGCCTGTATCACATTCACCATGGCTTTGCTGGAGTCCTGGGGGGATGCTCTACCAGTGATGGTAAAATGAGGGGTCCAAGAGCAAAACATGATGAACAAAGCAGCCAAACCACTCAAACCACTGCCTTGCAAAAATCACTTTGACACTTTGTCAGTCACACCTCACCACTGCAATTGCTGGAAGGAATAGTCATTAATTACTCTTGTCAGGTGAAATTTCTTTAATTACCTGCAACTTTTCTTCCAGGAAACTCCCACTTTCAGCTGCTGCTGGCAGTCCAAAGGATACATCTCCTAGCAGTATTTTTTATGAAAAGCCCAGAAAATTACCAGGGGATGAAGTCCTGTGTGGCTCACCTCTGGCTGCGTAGGGCCAGTGCATGTCCTGGAGTCACCTGCCTGGCCTGCCTGTGATAAGGGAGCCCAACAGGCTGGCGGGGGGAGGAGGAAGGCGGTTAGCCAACCTGTCATGTAATCCACAGGCTTCCTTCAATGACCTTTTCTTTCTTCCCTAAGAAGTAAAAGAAACGCAGAGCAGACTGCCTGGAGAGCTGCTGCTCCTTGAACCTTGACAGCACGCGCTCAGCATCGCGAGGAGACGCTCAGCAGCAGCCGGAATTCAGCACACGCTGCTCGCGCTCCCGAGCTCCCGTACAGATGTTCATTGGATTGTCAGGGCATTGAGAGGGAACTAAATTAATTGTAAGTGGGAGCAGGTTAGTTAAATCTATTCTGGAAGTATTATATAGCCATTAAATTGCGTACAAAACTCAATAATAATGGGTAATAACGTTCTTCCTAGGAATTAAATAGAAGCTCAATTTATAATGCTGCTCGGCATTCAAACCAGAGCGTTCCACCTTCCTGGTACATGATAAACATTTAGTAATTAATCCTCACAAAGCCTCACTGAGGCAGATCTCTTCACACCACTGATTCTGTGTATAAATGGGAACAAGAAGGTACAAGATGCCTCCTTTGAAGCTGTGGTTGCCTATGTCTTCAAACATGATTTGCATCTCTGGGAGCCCACTCAGCATCTGTGTTTGAATAATGAGAGGTTTGTAAAAAGCCTCAGAGCCTGGATCAGATGTCCAGGTCTCTTTGTGACACTTCCCTGTGCTGAGATCATTGTGGCATGTTTCAGTATGATTCTGCAGTGCAACCTCCAGAATAATGATATTTTCCCTGCCTGGTCATATTGCATTGCTGGAATGATCTTGAGAAGAAAAGCCCATGGTGTTGGGTCTCAAGCTGCAGGAATTGGCCAATACAAAAGCTGCTAATTTTGTCAAGATTTAAAAGAACAAATCTTACGACCAACTGAAAACTGTTTTTTTGCAGAAAATGATTGTATCAGATGTGGCCTGTCAAATAAATGAGAGTGTAATTTACACCAGGATGGTGGAATACTCATGACTACAGGCAAATTAGAATTATCTAGTGTCAGTTTAAAATTATCCCCTGTCTCCCTGTCACTGTTTAAGGCACAGCATGAATAAACAGAGGGTGCAATGAAAAGGAGCTTCACCCCAGCACCAAACTGCAACAAAAGTAGGGAATTTCCCACTGATTTCAGTTTGTCTGCTTACAGGGGACATTAATTTGAGTTTGCAGCTGATTCCACAGCCTGCACAAGGACCTCACACAACAGAGACAAGAGAATCTGCAGTACTCATCAAAGAGCAAGTAAAAATGGCATAGATACAGCTGTGACTGACATGGGGCTGTGCAGACATGGTGTTGGGTGAGGAGATGGGGAACTAAGGTCCAACTTCCCAGGTGATCCACGCTCTGAAGTGTTTAAAGTGTCACTCTGAAAGCCTAAGAAGTAGTCTCCTACTTTCTGGCACCACCAACCTTAGCTGAAGTTCTGGCTTGAAAAGGGAAGTGTTTTTTCCAAGTAATTTTTGGCTAAACAACCCTTGGCACAACAAAAGCAGCAACTTCCAAATAGAACAAATCAGCATCAGTGATGAGCTGTCCAGAGAAAGCAGCACAGCCTTTATAAACCCAGTAAAAAAAAGCTGCTCAAGAGTTTATTACAATTCTTGATACATCAGAGATGTCACTAATAATATTTTAAAATATGTAACAAAGAAAGAAAATGCTCTTTACTAGTTGTAAAGATTGGCCCACAGTTAAGGGGCAGGTCAGAGCCTCTTTCATGGGAATTAGAAGATTACTCCCATCCCACCCATCTTCTCCTTGAATTAATTAACATTAAAACTATGCTTTTACGAGACAAGACATGCCACATAAAAATCTGATTCATTTGAAATCGCTGAAAAATTGTCCATTACTTTCAATGAGGGCAGGGTTTTACCCAATATTTCTATCAGACTTTTTAAAGATGGTGTTAAGGAAGATCTAAAGGGCTATCCTATTTCTCTTCTTGCCAAAAGGCAGGATCAGCTATGTCCATGTCAGTGCTGATGGATGTTTGTCTAACTGGTCCTGAAAGGGCTGCAGTGCTTTAATAGCACCTTGACTTCTGCTTCCATTTTTACCTGCCCAGAGACAGCAAAAGAAAAAGGGCTTTTATTGCCAGCTCTGCCAGGATTTTTGACTGGTTTCAAGGACCAGTGACAATTTTAACATCTGAAGTCTCACGATCTACTACAGGATCCAACCACAGGGAGCTTTACCATCATTTATTGACATCTTTCCCTTTTATCTCTTCTTGAGATATCTGACATGAAATCAGGCCATTCTGATTTCCATCTTGTTTTTCTTTTCACTGTTTTAGTTGTGGTCTGATTTCAGTGGCTGCCCCAGAACCAAGTTAAAGCTAATGCTTTCCTTTATCTGCAGTCCTGTCAGTCTTTTGGCAGCACAGTATAAAGTGTGTAACTCTAATTTGAGGAGTGAAATGCCAACTACTATAATTAAGTTGGCAATGTGGAAAGGCAGGGAGGCAATAGAGCAGTAACAACCACATGGGATGGAGCCTTAGAGGGGTGGGAAGAGAAGGACAGGTGGGCAAAAAAAGAAATATTCAAGTCTGTTCCTTGCAGAAGAGAAGCTCCATGGTTTGATTACGCTTCCAGAAAGAAATATCACCTGTCATTAACTGCCCTTTGCCTGCAACCCAGTGCTTGTGGAAACAAAGTGGCGTTTTTGCTTTGGTTTCAAGTTCTGGATTGCACTCAGAAATAGTAAAACACAGCTCCTCATTGAAAGGCAACTTGAAATACACCCCTTGCATACCCTGAAACTACAGGAAATCTGCCCACAGCTGCTCAAAATACATTTATGTTTTAAAATGGGAAACAACAGGCATGAAGATTAGCAATTACAGCTGGTATTTCTGAACATAAAGGTTTGAGACAGATGCTCACACGTAGCAGTTGGGGAATGAGAGGTGAGTTTCCCATGCATCCTCTCTCATTCCAGGGTACACCATGCATTAAGCTTTCACAGTAAGTTTTTGTTTGTTGTTTTTTTTTTAAAAAAACCTGCTACATAGAATCCGAAAGCAAACAGACACAATTTTGCCCAAAGTATGTGACAAAAAGCTTGGTGATTGTAGTCTGCACTTCACCCTTACCAAGGGTTTTATTCCCCAAAAAACAAACACTTTGCAGTCTTTACCAGTGAAAGACAAGACAAACCTTGTTTTCAGCCAAGCCATAAAATATGTACTCTCATATGTAATCACAAAACCTCCTGATGTTTTAGGGTACCAGCTTTGCACATGGGACAAAGCTGATTAATGCTGGGAGACACCAGCAGCAGCCAAACCAACGTTTCTTTGCCAGTGGACTCCTCTGCACCTTTGGTGCCTCCAAACAGAGCATCACTGGGGAGGCAGGAGGAACACAGCAGGGCACTGGAGCGAGGGTGCCAGGCTGCTGGCAGGAGAAGCCCTTACATGCTACTTGCAGGAAAAACAGCAGCTAAGAGGCTGGGATGGAGAGCCTGCCTAGGGACTGGGACTGATTCTGGGACATACGACCCATGGCGATGCATTTTCAGCATCACCTCAGTATCTGTGGCTTTGGACTTCCTCAGGAATTTGGTCAGAACCATTGACACTCAAAATCAGCTTCCTGGGACAGCAGGAAAGCTTTTTCTGCTCACTGCTGCCTAAAGAATAGGTTCCTGAAGGCATTGTTGTAGTTTTTGTTGAAAGCAGTGTAGATGAGTGGATTAAAAAAGGAATTTGAATAGCCCAGCCATAGAAAAATGCTCTTCCAAACAGGTGGGATGTCACATGAGCAGAGTGGGTTGATGAGCTCTGTGATGAAGAAGGGGATCCAGCAGAGCACGAAGACCCCGATAAGGATGCCCACCATGAGGGCAGCTTTCTTTTCCTTCTGCTCTCTCCACGTGTCTCCGTCCGTCTGGAACGTAACAGTGGCGTGACGGACAGTGAAGACCATCTGTGGCTGCTGGGCTGCTTCCTTTACCTGCCAAACACAAACACGAGTTGCACCATATGTACCCCAGCCAGGTGATCCCACACAGCAGGTACAGAGCCCAACAACGCGAGCGAGGGCCAAGGCTCTGGGGGAAACACAGGCCATCCACGTCACTCTTCTGAGGGGAAACGCAGGCTGGATGACCTTTTCTGGGTGATGGAGACTATTGTAAGTGAGGCTGGAAAAGAAACTAGGGAGAGTTCTGAGGGTACATGGGGTTACTCACACAGCAGCAATTCCCCACTTACAATCTGATTGTAATGAAGATTACTTCCCCACTTATAATCTGATAGCAGAACAGACACACACCCACATGCCATGCACAGAAGTCTGCTTACTTTCTCTAAACCCATTGAGTTGAGGAGTCCTTGGTAGAGAGGGAAGGAAATTAGCATACATTTGCTTCCTCCCTGCAAGAAATCTTTCCAGTGCAGAGTCACCGTGCCTGGGATGAACTGACATGATGCAGTCATGATTAGGAAAGATTTCCAAGGACATTCTGCACATGTGTTTTTCATCTGGGTAAATTCACAGTGTCCCCAAAGCCACAGCTGGTTGCCAAGGTACCGTCCCCAGCAGACACAGCAGCCCATCCATCCACTGTCCCCTTGCCTCCCCAGGGGAGGGACGGTGCCCCCTTACTCATGCCGGCCAGCACTGATTCAGCATTCCATGGGGGGACACCTGTGAGTCACCGCTCGCCCACGTGGCGCTCAGGCTCACAATACGTCCCAAAGTTGCTTTGGCTACACCTTGAGCGCTCGCAGCTGGGGGCTGGGAGGGAGCCAGCAGACTGGGTTTGCAAGCTTTGCAGTCAGCCTTCCCTCGGAAGCCTCCAGGATCCACAGGGCTTTGGTGGACCGCTGCTCACTTGCACACTTTTGGTTTAAGTTTCCCCCACTTCTACAAAGGCTTGCCTGCTGCCAGTGCTTGACCCGAGCAAAACACAACCAAGCTGACCTACCTCCAGCGCTTCTGGTGTAATGGGGGTGATGGAGTTGCTCTTGCGAGATCCGATTCGAAACCTGGCAGCCTTGTAGATCTTCCAGTACACAAAGAGCACCACGCAGAGGGGCAGGTAGAAGGCCCCGAACGTGGAGAAGATGGTGTAGGAGGGCTCCTGGCTGACTTGGCACTCTTCACTGTCCTCTGAGTAAGTCTCTCCCCAGCCAAAGAGCAGTGGGGCCAGAGAGATAAATGCGGAGAGCGCCCAGGTGAGAGCAATCATGATGTTGGAGATGCGGCGCCGGGTGCGGAGCGTGTACTCCAGGTGACGGGTGATGGACCAGTAGCGGTCGAGGGCAATGGCTGTGACATTCCAGATGCTGGCAGTGCAGCACAGCACATCGAAGGAGATCCACACCTGGCAGAGCGACCGGCCCAGCCGCCACCGCCGCCCGGACAACTCGTGCACCAGGCTGAGGGGCATGACGAGGGCCGCCACCATCACGTCAGAGATGGCCATGGAGGCCACCAGGTTGTGGGGCACCCGGTGGAAACTGCGCACGCGGAGGATGGTGGCCAGGACCAGCCCGTTCCAGAGGAACGTGGCCACCACCAGCATGGCCAACAGCGTGAGGACCAACACGCTGAAGACGGAGAGATGGGCCTGGCCGCCCTCAGGACCGGCGGAGGACCCGCTCCTGTTGCCGCTGTCCGGCGTCGTATCGGCGAGGCAGCTGAGGTTGAGCGGGCGCTCCATGCCGGGGCTGCGGGGCGCCGGGCTCCTCCGGGCTCCTCCGGGCTCCTCCGGGCTCCTCCGGGCTGCTCCGGGCTGCTCGGGGCTGCTCCGGGCTGCTCCGGGCTGCTCCGGGCTGCTCCGGGCTCCT